CTTCCTCACATGTCAGCACCCATTTGCTCGACTGTCAACAAACTTGAGTGAATGCATGAGAGCAGCAGGACAACAGCACAGACATTCTCAGTTTACCATAGTACTCTATGTCAGTGAACCCCCAGATCGCCACCTGTTATCTAATGGGAAGAAACTAGTTACCAAAGGCTTGACTAAACAAGTAAGTTTTTAGTTCTTGTGAGGACTCTGGGTGCAGTGTTCTGGACTAGCTGAAGCTTGTAAAGGCTTATGCTGGAACATCAAGATTGCAGGGCATTACAGCCACGATTCAGTAATCAAGGCTCATGAGCATGCGCACAATATTTAAGCTGCCCAGAGAGTCAAGATGCAGATGCAGTAATAGATATGCTGAAAACAAAAAAAGAAAAGAAAATATTATTTAAAACATTTACAGATATTTATTTTGTTTTAGGCAAGCAAACAATACTTAATACAAATAATACCTACTTAACACGTAAACAATGTTTTATAGTTTTTATGTATTTTTTATAGCAGTGTAAAATACTTTCTACTGTCTTGGGTGTGCTTTCTTCATCTCACCAAATTGGAAAAATAATTTTTAAGTAGACTAATAAATTAAATTTGCAATATTTAATATTAGAATAACTTTTATTCATTGTTCCATTGAAACATTGTTAGAAACAGCATGTGTAAAATATACATGGCAGCAGGTGAAGGTGAAATATAAAGATAACTCTAAAATTGTACAGTGTAAATCTAGATAATGTTCTTGTATTAAAAATGAATCAATATGTATAGAAACGAAATTAATACTGTATTACATATTACAATCCATTACACCTAACCAAAAAGAAAAAAGTGGTTCCTGTTAATGTCTCTTGAGGGGTGGGTGGCTCCAGTAATGGACCTGTATCACACCTCCCTCCAACTCTGCTACTTCACAGTGCTACTTTACAGACTCTTGTGCTCCAACTCTGACTCTCAGAATTCAGAGGAGGATCTCATGCCTATCCTAGATCAGCTTCACCCAATTACTCACTCTCCTCACCTGTGTCTAGTCATATATATTGTCCGTTTGCCCCTACTTCTTTGCAAAGTATTGCCCCAGTTTCACTGAGAACACTCAGTAGTGTTTTCTGCCTGTCCTATCATGTTTTTGACCTGATGTTTTTTTACCTTTCTCTGGATGTCCCTTTTGGCTTTTGTTCGCTCTGTCTTAGTTTTGACCTTGGCATGGTTAACCATTGCAAGTTTGGATCTTTTTTTCATTAAAACCTCAAAACTGGTTTATAACTGTGCGTGTCTGATTTGTTCTGACTTGTTACAACAGCAGCTCTGGACCAGTGCCCCATCATTTCAGAAACATCTTCAGAGATTACTCTCCCCAGAGACAAAAAAAATCTTCCAATTGCAGGAAATGTCCTGACTCTCCACATTCTCCCTGATACTCTCCTGACTCTCCTGATACCGAGAGTCTGTAAATGATGTAATTGTCAAAAAACTGTATGGCTGTGATGATGTTCCACAGAAAGCCTGTAATGTTCAGCAGTGCTAGTTATCTTCTGATTATGCAGGAGCATGCGGGACCAGCAAGAGGAAGCAGATGTTCACATGACTTCAGAAAATATCTGCTAAATAAAAAAAAAGAAAAAAAAAGTGTAAATGAACATTAGAAAGTTAGAGCTGGAAATTTAGAAACAAGTTGAGAAGGATGTGTAAATTAGTGTAAATGTAACTCCAGAACTGATCAGATGCTCACAGATGAAATTAGAAAAAGAGGCTTTACTGATCAAAACACTTTCCAAACTCATAGTCAAAACACAGGCAATGGTCAGATCCAAAACAGCCCAAAAACACAAAAAGACACACATAACCAGAAAGCAGACAAAATCCAAAAGGCAGGGTTGAAAACCCAGAAAAACAGTCAGAAAAACATGCAGGCAATACAAGAAAAACCGCTCAGTAGCTCGCAAGAAAGCAATACCTCGTGAAGATCTAACTAAAGCCCAGGCTTCAAATACTATTATTGGTCACATGAACAAGGAAGACAGGTGAAACATATCAGTATTCTGGTGAAGCAGAACGATGATAGGTTGTGGAATGAGAGTCAGCAGTCACTTGATCCCCAAGGGAGTTCTGGGAGTTAGAGTTCTCAAACAGAACTGATCTGGATAGATGTGTGACAGTAAAGTACAGCTATTTTAATATGCTAATTTTATTCAGAATTTAACTAAAGATTTATTCCCCCCACAGACTGAACAAAATCACTAATAAAAAGTTTTTTTTATGATTTCCTCTTTTTAATAAAAAAAATGCTTTAAAAATATTTGCACACTAATTTCAAGGAGCACATTAATGTTCCTCACAGCACCACCATCCTTGTGATCTTTAACTGCTTTAGTTAGACCAGACCAGAAAATATAAATGCAACATAAGCAATACAGTTAAGCAAGCAATTGTAACTAATATTTAGGGGGCCTGTAGAATCCTTTCCATGCATAAACCTCTGATTTAAATACCTTTTATGCAGTAAAACTTTTGATATCTTCTCCATATTAGTTTAGAATTTTTATTATTATTTATTTATATTTGGCTTTTTCTTAATTATATCCTTAATGTCAAATCTTATTAGGACCTACATTATGTTGTTAATAAAATAATGAACATCATTTGCTCTAGATGCAGCAGTATGTTGGACATTATTGAGGCGGAACGTTGTTCTAGAGTTGTCTTAACCCGGTAAACCTATGTTGTTACATGGATTGTTCAATAACATTGATTGAGCTATGCTAAGCCTAAACTTTAGCATGGTATGGAGCAGGTTTGTCCAAAAGCATATGCTGTCATGGTAACTGACTGGGGCTTAAGATTAGCTTCTTTCGTGAAACCAAAATTGACAAAAATTTTAACCCCAATTTTTCAGCACTGCTAGGTCCTCAGTTTGTTCCTCCTGTGTCTGGCCAGTCTTCACTCTTTAGTTTTCTTTCAGTCTAGGTCACTGTGCCTGACTCTGTCAGTCTTGCAGTCTCTATCTCAGTTGCTGTCTCTGTTCCAGTTCCTGTCAATGTTTTCATCCCTATCACAGTAACCTTACCTGTCCCAGTCCCAATATCTGTACTTGTCTATTAACTTGTTCGGCCCTTCATTCAGTCACATGTTCAAATTCCCATCCCGTCTCCTGTCTTATCCCATGTTTCCACTGTCCCACCTCCCACCCAAGTTTTTATCCAGTTTCCTGTCTATTCGCCTGTTCACCCTGTCTGGTCTCATGTCCAGCCTTCTGTCCAATCCCCTGTCCAGTCTAGTGTGTCATCCCCTGTCCAGTCCCCTCTCTGTTCCCATGTTCAGTCCCCTGTTCAGTTCACCATCCAGTCTCTTGTCTAATTTTGTAGTCTTGTTTCCAACCTCTCATCTGGGCCAGCTCCCCAGATGTGCTCTGTTCTGTGCTTTGGAAGCTGCACATTAGAGGGGGCTTCTGTGAAATCTGTGCCCTGCCCTTGTCTTTCTTTGTTTCTGTCTGTGTCTGCCTTTCTTTTCCTTCCCTCACGTGTCTTGCCAAATGCCATCTTGCCGAGTATGGAGCCTTGTGGAACACCTTTAGTTATGGCAGTGAATAAGGTTTATCGTGAACCAGGGTTACACATTGGTGCCTATCGAAAGGTAATTCTGGACCAGCATGTAGCTTTATCATCAAAACAAATGTTTTATAGGCTTTTTAAAAGTACGGCGTGATCAACTGTGTCAAAAGCTTTGGGGAAATCAATAAAAAGGGCTACACAGTGCTTCTTTCTGTCTATGGCAGTAAAATGTCTTTTGTGATCTTTCTCTAAAAACAGATTAATAGCAACGTTTGTATAAGGGATTGAGTTGAGTTGATAATTCACTTGGGCTTCTAAGATTTTGGCTAAGCATGACAATTTAGAGATTTAGAATTTAGTCTATATTTATCTGATGCCTCACCTCCTTTGTGTAGCAGAATGCGTGCTACTCATTAATGCCTAAAGCATCTGTAATAAGAGTTGCTATGCCTCATCCTTGGCTGTTTAAATTAGGACTATTAGAACTAAAGGTGCTGACCTTGTAGAATCATTGAACTAGTTGATTAGATCAATTGAACCAACTGAGGTTATCTGTTTGATTTGAGGAACAGACACAGTCTCAATCAAGTGGAACCTATGTGGCAGTGACTGACTGACTGTCCAGCACTGACAGCTATCTAAGAGACTACATGCTATGCTACAAGAAATGAGAGCAGCATGTGAGGGATGTATACCATCCTGGCTCAAAAGACCAGGCATGCCCTTAAAAGAAGACCAACTGTCTACAAAACTCACATTGTTTTCTGAGCAGCAATTGGACAATCGGCAGTTTAGCAACCATAACTTGCTGTAGATTTTGGCACCACATTGAAAGATAGGGCCAAAGTGCATTATGGCATAAGACACAATCTGGGATAATCTGCACCCCTTATTACTTTTTAGTTATTTCTGACTGCCACAGACAAGCAGCATTACTACCTGCATGAATAACTTTGTAGAAAACCTATAAATTGTTCACAGCTTTACTAATTCCCTCAGTCACTCATTCCCACTGATGTTGGCTGCCCTGGTTCCTAGTATATAGCTAATTTCTATTGGTGCCACTGAAGGAGAAGCTATTCTGGTTGGTTTCTTATGTTCTTCTTTTATACTTTACAAATCCTTTTGAACTTTAACAGACTTTAATTTTAGTTGATATTCATTCAAATTCCATTTTCTTTGATGATGTTCATGTCATTTCTTCTAAAGTCTCCTTTTTGTCATAATTGTATCTGCTGAATCTCAGAATCAGAATGATGATTTTAAAGTATTGTAGTTAGTAGCATGATGTATCAGTTTGGTTGTTGTGCTTTTTGTTACATCCTGTTTGACAGACCTGATGTATCTTTTGCATAATTTGGAGCTTGCTGTGTTTGTACTGCAGCTGATTTTTGCTGCATGTAAGCAATACCTGTTCCTCTTTTTCTTTCCTTTCTGCAGATTGACTGGTTGTATGATTACAGATAAAGGCTGTTCTTCTTTGGCATCAGCTCTGAAATCAAATCCCTTCCACCTGAGAGAACTTGATCTGACCTATAATCACCCAGGAGAGTCTGGAGTGAAGCTGCTCTCTGATCTACTGGAAGACCCACACTGCGCACTGGAGAAACTACAGTGAGTTACTGACTTACTTTCTCTGTAAACAGACTGATTATAATTATATATATTTTACACATTACTGATAGATGTGTTTGTAGATGTGTTTGCCTTTATGGTGAGGTGGTGAATTGTTATTTATAGTGAGGTACTGAATTGTTGTTCCAAACATGACTGGAACTACCATGAGGACACTGAGGTTCAGAGATGGTTTGGAAGGGTTTTATGAGATTCAATGTGAAACAGAGATAAGACCCAATTAACAGTGACTGGTTCTCAGCTGTCCTCAAAAAATGTTTGGTCATAGACCTAACTGCATCCTATGTTTACCTCAGTACAAGATGCTAATGCTACCCAGAGTGACTCTGACTCCTTGAGATGTTAAAATATGCAGCTCCATTGATAGCTATATAAATGATCAAATTAATGTTAACGTTAGTTAAAAGTTGTTGTGTTACTTACTCATAATACTACTGAGAAAGTTCACTGTTAACTAGCATATTGATGGCACAGTGTCTTGTATTACAATTAAAGGTAACATTTTATATTAAGGGTACATGATCTGCCAGTAATTAAGGCATTTACTAATGAACAATTTATGTATGAATGTTATGTATGAACAACCACAAGATTAAATTACTAACACATGTACTAATGTATGAAAATGAAGCTAATAAAGGCAACATCTGAATTTATCAGGAATTCATGTGTTAATTAATGTTTGTCACATGTTTGTCCTTCTGCTTCATCATGCTGAGTAAGCAGCCCTTGTATTTGCCTGTTTTCATCTGAGTTTATAGTTTTTGATTTCTTATGTTATTTTGTCTGTTTCTACCCACCTAGTGTCTGTTTATTTAAAAAAAATCAAAAATTTACACTGACATGTTTTTGCAACTAGTCATCATTTGTGACAGTTGCCATAATTTTATTTCATCTGTCGTGTTAATAATATGACATGTTTTAACTCCTATATTGTTACATAGTGCCTCATGAGGGAACAGTTTATCCTACAGTTACCACTGAACTCGGAAATTAGTTAATAATGGGTTGGGAAAAGTGCAGTCCTTTTCTATCCTTGCAATCCTTAATTCTATGCACGTTTTTGTGCTTTCCCTCACGTAGTACACCTGATTCAACTGCTAATTTACAAGCTCCTGTTGTGCTGGTTGAGGTATGTCAGAGTAAGGAAAATACAACACTATGCAGAGTCAATTCTAAATTCATTACAAAGAAAGCAATGATTACTGATAACTCACAGTGAATTCATAATGTTTGTGCCCCCTAAAGAGGTGATGGACCAGTCACATTTTATTACTGAATGAAAGCTAATAAAATAGCTGGGGTTAACATTACTTACCAAAATGACATGTTTGCCCTCAACATAACAGTGATGAATGATATTCATATAAAAACAGGACATTGGCAAAATTCATAGAAATAAAAAATATTTCATTGTCATCTTATGACTTTTACACAATACACAAAACCAGGGTCCCTGTAAAAGGAGGAATAACAATGAACCAAAAAGCATAAAATCAGCATGTACACTTTTCAAATTTTTAACCAAACAGAATAGGCATGTCTGACACCACATATTAATAGAATCCCAATGCTTGTGAAACCACAAACCACAAACTCCTTTACCCTTAAAACAAAGGTTTACTGTAAATAAGTAAGCACCAAACCAAATATTTCATATAGCTACTTTACAACGAATTCAGTAATAACAGCAACTGCAAATCTGTTCTGTTTCAGACAACAGCTGCATGTTTTACACATTTTTGAAAAGAATAACAGATTTATAATGGGAAACACATTTTTATTTTTCGAAAATGGTATATATTTTTCATAATAATGGTGTCATATATTAAGATAATTTACAGGTTTAATTAAATGAAAGTCATATTGCCAGTAAATAAACTAAATTTGCACAACAGTTTAAATTTATGTTGTAACAGTATGACATTGCAGTGTGACATAGGTAATCATATAAATTGAAAGAATAGGATGAAACCAACAGAGCTTCTAGCAGTACACCAAAGTGTACTAACATTCTTTTTGCATGCTTAATTAACACATGAATTCCTGATAAATCCAGATGTTGAAGAAAGCCTTTATTACCTTCATTCATTAGTACATACATTGGTTAATACTGAGTAATGAAATCTTATGATTGTTAATATATGACTTATTCATTTGTTCCTGATCAATGACTCATTATTTTCTGATTAATTATTAATTAGTAAATGCCTTAATTACTGGCAGGTCATGTACCCTTAATGTAAACTGTTAACCAATTAGAAACCAGCAGGTACGTTTGGCTGTATACAAAGAGTGGTTAGCACACAAGTACAGCTTTTTACTGACTCAAGTTGGGATGTGCCATTAAAAACAACTTTATCCACTCAGGTGCAGCCAACAACAGAGCAGTTCTCATGCTTAGCTCTTATTCTGGTGCTTGCGAGAAAAAAATGGTGCATGTTGGCAAAAGTAGTTCTCAAGCCATGTGTGGAGTAAGCCTGCATTTGAAGTAAGACAGGGAGACAAATCTGAATGGCTTGTTGACTCTCATGCTTTCTGACCTAGGAGGCCACAAAAAAATGATTGTGTTGTCCTGTTTCACAGTTTGTGGTTGGTACCCAAATGTGTGAGCACAAGCACTGAAAAAGTGAGTTTTTCATAATATGTCCCCTTCAATGAATGTACATATGTGTGTTTTGTTCTTCAGGGTGAATCATGGAGGGAAGATCAGGATGAAACCAGGACTGAAGAAATGTAAGATGTACACATGTACACACGCTATACACAAACATGTGCACACAACACTATACACACATATCATACACACACACTCACACATACACATGTATACACAATTATTAAGTTCTCTTTGTTTGTGTCTCCTCTAATGTGTGTGTGTGTGTGTGTGTGTGTGTGTACAGATGTGTGTGATCTCACTCTGGATTCAAACACAGCAAACACCTTTCTCTCTCTGTCCGAGAGGAACAGAAAGGTGGAGCGTGTGATGGAGGATCAGTGTTATCCAGATCATCCAGACAGGTTTGATGACTGTTATCAGGTTCTGAGTGTGGAGAGTCTGACTGGACGCTGTTACTGGGAGGTTCAGTGGAGTGGGAGTGGGGCTGTTATATCAGTGTCATACAGAGGAATCAGGAGGAAAGGAGGCAGTAATGACCATGTGTTTGGCTTCAATAAGCAGTCCTGGGGTCTGATCTGCTCTGATAACAGATACACTGTCAGACACAATAAACATGAAACTGTCCTACCCGGCACTCCCTCCCCCTCCAAAAGAATAGGAGTGTATCTGGACTGGGAATCTGGCACTCTGTCCTTCTACACCATCTCACCGAACACAGAAATGCTGACCCACCTACACACACTCTACACTACATTCACTGAACCGCTGTACGCTGGATTCTGGGTTTATAATGACAATGACTCCTCAGTGCGTCTGTGTGAGATAGAATAACATCTACCCAGAGAGAGAGAGAGAGAAAGAGAGAGACACAGTGAGAGAAACAGAGCAGATTGGTGAAAAATGTGTAATGTGACAGACCCAGTAAGACACTCATGGAAAAATCCAAGAGAAGAGGCTTTGATACAAAAGGGATTGGCAAGAATTGTAGTCGTGGTATAGGCGTGGGTCAAATCTAAAATAGCAAGAAGGCAAAACAGAGCAATCATAACCAGTAGGGCAGAGACAAAAGACAACAATGAAGGATCCAGAAGAGAGTCCAATAAACCAAAGGGCAACTGAGAACACAGTGGAAATGCTCAGTAGTTCTGCAGGAGAAACAATACCTCGCAATTTGGCTAAGCTAAAGCCCAGGCTTATAAACTAAACTAAACAGGTCATACATACAGGTCATAGAACACAGGTGTAGAGAATCAGTACTCAGGAGAATTAGAGTGATGATTGGTTGAACGAGGAAGTTCAGTCACATGATCTCCCATGAGTTCAGGGAAATGGAGTCCTTGTGTGAATCGAGATCTGAGGGATACGTGACAGAAAGCATGTATCAAAAATACAAAACTACAGTTTTGACTATTTTCATACATTGTTACAAAAATATTTGATAAATATACTTTACATGTATTTCTATGTCATATGTGTGTCCAGTCAGAAATATAGTGCATTTAGAGATAAAGATACTTTTGATCTAAAATACTGTGAGAAACAGATACCTGGATAAAAAGTGCACATTACCTGATGGAGGATATAGGACTGTCTACCATTATCTACACCTTCATTACCTGATGGAGGAAATAAAACTGTCTACCATTATCTACACATTAATTTATGTCATGGAGGATATTGCATTGTCTACCATTATCTGCACACTACCTGAGGATGCAATTGTTGATGTCCTGAATATGGCATTACAGTTTTTTGGAAAGCACTCTTTATCGTACCACCTTGGGTAAAGGCTTGTAGGTCACGTTTGTAATGCAATATAACTCCACAAACAGTTTTTGCTATAGAAAAGAAGTAATGCAAAAGAAATACTTGAATGCAGACACACCATAGAACCACTACAAAATAATATCATAATCAGTAATAGTTATTACTCTGAGTGCGCCCCAGATGATCTTGCTTTGTTGATCTTGCTTTCTTCCCCTTTGAAGGAGACTTCATCTCCTCATCATCTCATTTATCAATAGTTGAATAATTCTGAGGACAGAACAAGACAAGACTATTGGATTTACTGGTTGCCCTAATTATGTTATTCCAAAAGATTTTTATGTCAGACTTAAACTGTAATGATGTAATGTTGGTTACAAGTATATTACAGTTTGCTTTTGACTATGACAGTGAATATCAAACAGCTTTACAATACATGCCATCTTGTCTGCTTTTCCTTTTGCAAGAATTAAAAAATTTTTCACAGATTAAAAAAAAGCATTCATTGCTATCTTTATTATATTCTACATGTGTAATTGAGTGAGTAATAGTTTTCATCGTCTCACCTCTTGACTCCTCTGTTTCAATAGCCTTTTTTCCTGTGTAGAATATATCATGTTTAAGTATTCCAATAAGGTTATGTACACTAAAGTGTTGCTTTGAATTTACTTGAATCAAATGTGTACCTTGGATGAAATATTTTACACCAGCACAGTTACTGTTGTCCATTTTACTTACTTTTGGCAAGAATTGTATTAATGGTTTGTGTTTTCTTTTCATGTGGTACTAATAGAGTCACATCTGTGCCAAAATTGTTTGTAATTACTTTTTGCATTAATACTGATAATAGACATATTCATGTTTCTGCATCAAAGTTTCTATCTGTAACATGACAGTTTGTAACCATACACTGCAGTTTTTGTAATTAATAAACCTGTTTCCATGTTGCTATTTCTATCTGTAATATTACGGATTGAAACTGTACATCACATGGAGATGAACTGACTTATTTACATTTATAAGCCCTCAGTTGGTTTCCTGATTCAATCTGCAACATCTTGCAAAGCTAAAGTCAGTTTTTCATTCTCATACTTCTCGTTCAAATTTTTCTGTCTCACCTTAAATGGCGCAACTGTACAATCTGGCGCCTCAGTCAAAATTAAAGGTGGAACGGGATAATTTGGAGGAGAAGCTGGAGGATGAGAAGCTTCAGCCTCGTAAAAAAAGTCGAACATTGAGAGAAAATTTACAAGAAACTCACTGAGAAGTTTCCTGACTGAGGTTAGAGAAAAGCAGCTATAGCTGAGCTAAAGCTTAAAGCAGAGCAAAGTAAGTCTGTGTTTGTGTTTGCTATATTTTAGCCTGAACTATAAGCACACACTAAGATATACTTGCAGCCAAGATGGTAAAATTGATATAAAATGTTGTGGCTCCCAAGGTGGTTTGATTTTTGTTGAAAGGATACAACAGCTCTTCTTAACATATGCCTACAACAATTTGAAGATGCTAAAGCCATTAGCTACATTTCATAAAATTGTAGCAGCTACTAGCTACAATATTTTGTAGCTAACTACAAAAAGTAGCCTGCTGCTTAGCTACTCCCCCATTCACAACTGCGTGTCTGAGAGATACTGTTTTGCTAAAAAATAGAAAAATAGATCACACGTTTTGTACTAGGTGAGTGAAAAAAATCAGTGGATTTCCACCCAAATGGTACCTGCTCTGTGGGGGTCCTGTGAGGGTCCTGACCACTGAAGAACAGGGTAACAAAATAGGCAGAAAAACAGATGGACTACAGTCTGTAACTGTAGAACTACAGAATGAAATTATATGGTCAGTGAAGCTGATAAAATGGACAATGAGTGTAGAAACAAGAAGGTGGACTTAATAAAGTGGCTGGTCAGTGTATATATACACTTTTTTTGATACATTTACCTATGGATGATGGTATATATGATGTCAGCCCACCCTTTGCAGCTATAACAGCTTCAACTCTTCTGGGAAGGCTTTCCACAGGAAAAGGAACTCCCAGTTAGGAGTGTGTTTATGGGAATTTTTGACCATTCTTCCAGAAGTGCATTTGTGAGGTCAGATACTGATGTTGGACGAGAAGGCCTGGCTCACAGTCTCCGCTCTAATTCATCCCAAAGGTGTTCTATCGGGTTGAGGTCAGGACTCTGTGCAGGCCAGTCAAGTTCTTCCACACCAAACTCGCTCATCCATGTCTTTATGGACCTTGTTTTGTGCACTGGTGCGCAGTCATGTTGGAACAGGAAGGGGCCAAACTCCCCAAACTGTTCCCACAAAGTTGGGAGCATGAAATTGTCCAAAATCTCTTGGTCTGCAGAAGCATTAAGGGTTCCTTTCACCGGAACTAAGGGGCCGAGCCCAACTCCTGAAAAACAACGGAGACGGAGAAGCGTCATTGGTCACTCTAGAGTCCAGTGGCGGTGCTTTACACCACTGCATTCGACGCTTTGCATTGCGCTTGGTGATGTAAGGCTTGGATGCAGCTGCTCGGCCATGGAAACCCATTCCATGAAGCTCTCTACGCTGTTCTTGAGCTGATCTGAAGGCCACATGAAGTTTGGAGGTCTGTAGCGATTGACTCTGCAGAAAGTTGGTGACCTCTGCGCACTATGCCCCTCGGCATCCGCTGACCCAGCTCTGTCATTTTCCGTGGCCGACCACTTCGTGCCTGAGTCGCTGTCGTTCCCAATCGCTTCCACTTTGTTATAATACCACTGACAGTCGACTGTGGAATATTTAGTAGCGAGATAATTTCACGACTGGACTTGTTGCACAGGTGGCATCCTATCACGGTACCACGCTGGAGTTCACTGAGCTCCTGAGAGCGACTCATTCTTTCACTAATGTTTGTAGAAGCAGTCTGCAGGCCTAGGGGCTTGGTTTTATACACCTGTGGCCATGGAAGTGATTGGAACACCTGAATTCAATGATTTGGATGGGTGAGTGAATACTTTTGGCAATATAGTGTATAATTCCGTGTTTTAGTGTTCTGTTGCATCTATTATTTTAAACCTCATTCCAAACACTGGGTTGGAACAGTGTGTGAAATGCAAATAAAAACAAAATTCAGTAAATCATAAATCTACTTTGATGTATTTGAATAAAACTGTATTAAGACAATATTTTAAATATTTTATGTTACTGTTGTCGGAAGAAAACCCTGTATCCCCAAAATGGTAACTTTACAGAGGAAGGAAAAACATACTTTACTTTTAATGTAAGTCAATGGAACCAGACTTTTTTACAAGTCATTTTGGGCCATTTCTTTTGATTGATTCATCATAAAATTTACACACAATGTAAAGGGCAACAGGTATTTTCAGTTTATGTTAAAAACTGAAAAACGAGGTTTTCTTCCGACAGCAGTGAAATGTATGTTCATTCTGAAATAATGCGTGCAGCATGTTCCACAATTTGGGACAGGAGCAATTTAAGACTAAAAACACACTCACAAAAAAACTTTCACTGTCCTAGCTTTTTTGGAACTGAGTTTGGAATATATTAATGTCAATGATTACATATTTGAAAACTATTAGATATTTAATGTTTATCAGATTTAATTATGTGTAGGCCTAAATACACATTAATGTACATTCTTATAATATACATCACATATCATACAAAGTAACTTATGCGCACTTGAGTACATTTTAACACACAAAAAATGATTAATAAATATGGACGCTATGATATAAATACTCATATTAATGGACAAACTGAAATTGTGGTGTCAAAGAGCTTAGAAACTTTGGGTCAGGAGTTAAACAAATGTTTTCACTCCAGTTTTTGATGGAATTGCACAAGCTCATATGTGAGCTGCTCATCTGTGATGTGTTAGGCTCGATAAGTAAGTAAATAAAGTAAATAAGTAAATAATAAATAAATAAATGAATACTGGAAACCATATTAGTAATATATCACAGTAATGATTTGAGATGTTTTAGTTAAATGTATTTAGCTATGCTGGTGATGCATTAATAAAGTGATGTGGTGAAAATCCTTACAGAAACACCAACAACACAATGGCATTTATATTTAGGCTAACTGTGATATTCATCACAAACAATGACCACGCAGCTTGACCGATGGTGTGCAGCTTTACTCACTGGTCAAAATACTAAACCATGTTGGCTTAGTAGAGATGAAGGAGAGAAGAGAACTCCAGCGGAAGTGTTATTTCCGTTTTCTACCGGATACACAAAAAACTACATACAGGACACATGAAGAAAGCATTGGAAGTGCAAAACAAAAGACAACCTTAAAAAGGGGTCCTGGTGGAGTTCAGTAATCAGTAATGGTATTGTGTGTTCCTGATGGGTTGATATCACAGTGTAAAGGGCTGTAATGGTTTAACAGGTGTTCTGATTTTAGAAGATTTTCTAATGGGATCTAAAAGCGTCCTACAGGAAACTAGTGGTCTCTAATGGTAACCATTAAAAAGCAAAGCAGGTTTTTATCCTAATGGTTCTGATGGTCTTTTTCTATTTGAAAAGTGAGATTAACATGTGGAATCTTAAATTAACTTGAAAAGCACAGGTTTGTTTGGAGTCTGATTAAGAATGTTCTAAAAAAGAGACAAACTGAAATGAATGTAGTAATTCATTAGTATGCGCATATTTATGTGGACCTTTGCCTACTTTAACAATCTGGAGTGTAAAATGAAGTTTTTAATTAGTGCCCATCATTTAAAAGTTTATTTTATGTACAATCCATTTTAGCATGAGAGCCATTTTTATTCCACTGATTTCAGGGTTAAGTTGTCTAGTCTAGGCTCCTGATATTTCAATATATCTGATGTATAGTTGATTACTCATACAGTTACTATACAGTAAAACCCAACTGCACATCTTAATGAAAGATGACACAACTTAAATAAAACAGAAAAAAATCTAATGAAAAATGAGCTGTTGAGATAGCAACTCAGTCATTTTGAGGAATATTGTTTTTTTCATTGGGTTTTGAGTTATTCAGTGGGTATTTTTATTTAACTTGACTTTACAGGCAAATACAAACAGGCCAATAATGGGTTGTTTTTAAAGACAAATTTAATAATAAATAATAATAAAAATAACTAGTGTGACCCAATCCGAGGGCAGCTGCCTAACGAGTCACTGCCTTCAAAGGCAGCTCTGTTGTTGGACAGCATTTTTACTGAAAAGGAACATTAGTAGGCATCACATTCGGGACGGAGCTTCAGAGCCATCATACGTCATAACTCTCACTGCACTGTTCACGTTTTATCTGTTGACTCTCAGTCACTGGTAACACTCCCCTCCGACTAAAGGCGGATCATCTCAGTGTAAAAGGAGACTCTGGATCTGCAGCAGCTGTTTTCCTGCACTGACACTATGTGGAAATGTGTGTGTGAACAGGCTGATTTAAGGACGCTGTAAAGTCTCTGTTGTTAAATATTCGACTCAGCAGCCCAGATAAATACAGATAATCGTGAATATGAGTTTATGAATCATTTCAGTTCATACACTGTCCTCATCCACCTCAATGAACCTGCTTTATTTCTAATGCATAAGAGATAAAAACTATGTATAATTTTGTACAAAAAGCACTGAAAAAGGATCGCACACAATCTGTTCGCACTTCTTGCTGTAAAAAATCTTCACAAGCCAGTAACTCCTCTTTTTTAACCGTATAAATTACTGCTACAATATGAATTCTAAGATGTGTCATGCAGCTTACCCCTCCATCAGACTGTTTGCCTCACTGGTTTGATGAATGCCCTTCTGCCAGAACCTGCCCCCATTTCAGCAGACTGAAACCAGATATTTAGAGATGACAGTGCCTCCTGTTGGTTTGGTGAGGTTATCTGTGACATCTTCGCCTTTTTTTCACACATTTCTTCAGGAGCCATGGAGCGTATAACTTCATTTCTCACAGACGTACTTCTACTGTAACATCCATCTACGAACTGCATTGAGGGCAACATGAAAACATGGAAAAGTCTCCCAAATAACTACAACACAGGTTTTTACAAATATTATGAAAACTATATTACCTGGAGTACATGAAACCAACAAAGCAGCACCTTAGCAAGAGAAAACATATAACGTACCGTATTGATTTGTATTGATTATCTTAAAAACGAAAGTTGGTTTAATGAGAGAACCAAGTCAGGGCAAATCCAAAACCAGAATCCAAAGACAAGCAAAAGTCAAAAAAACGGAAAATACAAAAACACATGCAACCAGAGCAAAAGGGCAAATCCAAAAGAGAAACAATCAAGAAACAGGCAATGGGTTCAGTACACAGGTCAAGAAATCCGAAGATAACCACTCAGTAACCAGTAGTGTGGCAATACCTCACAAAGAGGAGAACAAACCAGGATCCTTTTAAAGTCTAAGGCAAATGGATACAGGTGTGTTGAATTAGTAGTCGGGTGATTGAGAACGAGGCAGAGGCCTGTGATTGGTGGAAGGGATGATGTCATGAGGATTGGGATTCTGGGAAATGGAGTCCTAGAGCGTGTTAGGCAAGGGGCGAGAACCTGGAAACGTGACAATAACACGACATAAAAATAGGGTGGCCTTTCTTTACCTTGGTTGATACGCACCTGCTGCTGACTGAGGCTTCTGCAAACACAGTGACTAGTTTCCACTTGATTCTTCACTCATAATGACGAATGCATCAGGAATTCGGTCAGACTTTACCATAACTACATAAAGTGCATATCCATACTGTGTCAGTCCCTTGTATGTGGCATCAAGCAGTGGCGGCTCCTGCCAAATATCTCAGGGGGGGCAATTGTTGTGATGATAGCCAAGGTGACCTGTTCAATGGGTAAATAAAAAAACAGCTAGCTAGCCAATTGAAATATAAATATATACAAATATTTCTCTTTACATTACATACTGTACAGTATTTGTGCACTGATATATCCTGGAGTTCACTGTAAATATCATCCTGAATAAAACTTAGGCTCTACAATGACTGAACAATCAACTGTGGTCATCTCTCAGTTTGCCCTCACAAACAACTTTGAACATGGAGAGAGACCAGATTTACAATTTATCAATAAATTGAATCTTTCACACTCTTTAATTCAGTCTTCATCAGAGAGCAATTTATTTTAGGTGCTGCAGTTCTAGAATAAAGATTGGCAGTGGCACTAGGGCTGATGTGCAATGAATTAAAAAATCCCAATATTATTTGGGTGTTGGCCCATTCTTAGCACAGCAGTTACACTGACATGGTAGCATGTGTGGTGCTGGTATTAAAAAAGTATTAAAATACCTTAATAAATAATAACTTTTTTGATTAACCTACTCTTTTTATTGCAGGCACTAAAAGTTGAAAGCTGATTTCAGAGGTTATTTGAGAGAGCCAATCTGCTCAATCACAGAAGCCTGTCATGGCGTTGTTTATTGGTATTTTATAGTTTTTTGTGTTTATATATGTCTGTTTATTCTTTTTGTACAGTATGCACGTATACAGCACTGTGCGAAAGTCTAGGACACCTTAGAAAATTATATATAAAAAATTAGGTGCTCCTGATGGAATTGAACATATCTAGGAAATGGCTAGAGTTCAGCGAGAAGCAATCTGGAACCAAACCTGTGTTCTTCTAACCAGCTGACAAGATATCAACTACTTTTTAAAAACATGAAATTTTTATTGTATTTATGTTTGTTTGCATTTAATCTAATGATATTTTGTGTTTGTACAGGCAAAAACACACTTACTGGCCAGATAAGTGCTGTTAAAGAATTTGCTCAAATGTTTGCACAGTGCTGTATATATTGTATTAAGAAACTGATTTAACCCTCGTTGTTATTAACTTCATATTTCATTCTTAAATGAGTTAAGGCTTGGGGTTCAACTGGCTACACTACAAAAAAATGATATCTTGTCAAGTGAAATCATCTTAAATCTAGTCGATAGATGTAATATTTCTCATTTTAAATTGTTGTAAGAATATTATAAGGTCGTTTAAAGGGCCCAAGTTCTTCATTTTCTTGTATTTTATTTTTCTTACTGAAGTCCATCTTTAAAATCTGTGTGGTTTTATGTACCAAACACATAATTATTTTAATGACCATTTTCCATCCTCTCTACCCCTCACAGTGAAACAGGCTGTTTTTATTACTGAGTGTTTAAGACTGATATATGTAAATTATCTCTGTTAAGAATTGGGGTTGTCTAATTCTAAAAGCAGTCCAGGCTGAAACACTCCTGAAGTCAATGTGAGTGGGCGGGGCTAAACCGATGTAGGCTAGATAGGTAGATTTAAATAATTATGAATGTGTTGGTTCTTGTGACATCACAAAAACAGTGAATTCAAACAGGTTGTTATTGCAGCTCAGTTTCCATATATGGACTGTGTGAGCTGCAGAGTGAACGGTACATTTTAAAATGTAACAAAGTTCACATAGAACGATAAAAATATTTATTTAAAAAAAAGCAAGGACACTTACTTTTCCATGACACAGATCCTTTAACTCATCTCCAGACAGTTTTTAAATTATGTTATTTCACTATATTGGCAGATAATTTTTGCTGGAAGAATTATGCTTGAAGCAAACACAATGATCTGCCAAAATAGTGAAATAATTTTGCTTGATTAAGTTTAATTTTGGAGCAGGTTATTTAACATCAAAACATACAGTGTATCTAATGTGTAGTTTGATGGGGCTTTTGGCTGAAGGGGTCCTAGTCAGCCTTTGCCGAGTGCAAACAGTTCCACAAGATTTGAACGTGGTCTGTGTCATTCTGGAGAAACACTATCCATTTGGCCCCCAGAGGTCAGAACTGACTTCACAGCAATAATAATAATAATAATAATAATAATAATAGTAATAATTTTCTAAGCCTGTCTTGTAAGTTAATGCTCTAGGTGAGGGCTTTCAGTTACTTTCAGTTATTTCCTGTTACTGTCTTTTCTTAATATTTTTTTCTTGTTCAGTTTTTAACTCAGGCTCAACCTTCAGCAGCTGTATCTGCCCAGAAGCAACTGATGCTGTCTGGTCTTCTTCTATTTCCTTCCACACTCAACTCCAGGCCCCGCCCCCTATAATCTGCTTGGCAAACACCCAGTTATTCTAGTGCAGGAAGAGGACAGCGAAGAATGACACAAAAAACTGCAGACCGGAGACCTAAGGGGAGGGAACTGGGGGGCGGGACTCTGTCAATCACTGTTTACATCAACCAATTAAATAATTACTCTTGGCCATCAATCACATTTTGCATTGGCCAACCGCAGATAGGAACAAGCTGTCTGTCATTTTCTGCATTAGCCAGTCTGAGGGTCTGTCTGCAGACCTGCACTCTCAGCCTGACCTGCGCTCTCAGCCTGATCTGCAACACCAGCCTATTGATGACGTCAGTGCTGCGCTGCCACCACAGTGTTTTTGTCGGTTTGATGAAGAAAACAGCGAAACACGAACTGCTGGGCAAGAAGAGCTACACTGAATGTATATTAACGTTGTCATAGTGATAATAAGGTAATTAAATATGGAAACTTTCAAAATAAAACCACAACAATCAGACATAATGTCGAGGTTGTTAGCAGAAAAAAAACAGGATGGTGAAACTCATGAAAGCCAGGCTGAAGACCATTACAACCGTTAGGAATAAAACCTGATGGTTTGGCTTCCTAACGGGAATGGGCTTGATGGTTGCCGTTAGAGGCCATTAGGAAACGATCAAATGTGGAATCAGTCCCAGATCACCTGATTAAATGATCTGAATCCTTTGCACTGTGATATCAACCCATCAGGAACACACAGAAGACCATTAGTGACTACTGAAAACCACCAGGAACCAGCAGAAACTTTGACTATGAGTCACGTTGTATGACTTTTTGCAACAGGGAGGTACAGTAAAAGTAACTCTCCAGCTGTTATGGATGAAAAATGGATGAAGTGATGAAATCGCTAAGCAGCAGCAGCCAAACGTTACCGTGTGATCTAGATGTTGTTGGGTTAGTTTAACACCCAGTTTAGTGAGAAGGGGAACTGCTGCAGGCCAGAGACCTGAAATTATCATAAGCACAAAACACTGAAGGCAAAGTTTCCATTAGGAACCAAGTGGCTGTGAAATAACCTTTAGTTACAAGTTACAAAGAACTTAGTTACAAGTTTAAGTTTAGTAAAAACTTGCTTTAATCTCAGGTTCACAAATGAGTTTTCCTTTACGATATTCTAGACATGTCTCTGTTCATAAACATAAACTAGTCAAACAAATTTACTATGAAAGGAAACAGTGTGTTAAACTCAGAAAAAGACACACCAGTCACATTGTCACAGTATATTGTGTTCATGTTCATTTGTCCAGACAAAGACAGGAGGAATATGTTCTATCAGTTCACTGATGCTTTATGTGTGATGGTCAGTCAGTGTTTGCATGAACTCCGTCCTGCTTTACCTGCCAAAGAGACCTAAGCATGTACATATAAGCATGTGCACAAAAAGTCGCCCAAAATAGAAAGACTTCAGTAAACAGTTATGAAATGTTACATTGTTACATGTTGTATATATGTAATAATGTAACATTTCAGGTATCTTTACCGAAGTATTTCTATTTAGCACAAAATGAGAGACAGGCAATTCACACTTGTGATTGGCCAATGCGAGAAATGATTGACAGTGTCTCCGTCTATTCGTTCTGCAGCCCCTCGCCCACTGGTTGTCCGGGCTGCAGCGTTCGTCTCCTGTGTTCCTGGATCGCTTATAAAGGTGGTTTTAACGAAAAAAGTGACATTCTATGGTGGACTAAATGAGAAAAGCCGATGATGGGGGTACATACGACCCTCTGTGTGGTCTTGCTGTCTGGATTGTTTGCGTCTGTTTTCGGAGGTGAGTAACGTTACTTTGTTCCAGTTCTTCCGGACTTTCGGGCGAAATAACTTACTGCGCCATCACTGAAAACGTAAAACACAATACCGTCAGTAAACTCCGCTGACTGGAACTCGGGCAGTAAACTACACTGAACATTATAAATCAATAAGAATTCTCACATAATCTGAAAAGACCATTCTTTACGGATTTATTCTGAATTATTCAGTATTATAGCACATTCAGAGTAATAACGAGACTGACAGCATTTTATGAAGTTAATTTTGTGCCAGAATGTCTGAGAGAAGATCCTGATGTCTGAGAGAGGAATGGTCCGGTCTGAGAGGTCAGCGCTGCTCTGAGCGCAGCTACTGAATATGAACGCACTGGTCAGCACGAAGTGCGCAGATAAACACCTTCGGATCTGCTCAACAAAACACTCTGGTTTCATTCAGAACCTGAAAATCTGCTCAACAATGTTTTTCCCTCGAACCTGCAAAACACTCCGGTTTCACTCAGAACTGGAAAACCTGCTCAATCATACTCTTAAAAACTTAAACACTCACACATGCGCGCAGATCATTTCTGCTCTCAGCTCTGCAGCGCGCGCTCAACTTTCACACCTGCTCGCTGTGAAATGTCTGAACGTTTGTGTCAAAACTCCAGCCAATCAGAGCTGCCGAGGGGCGGGTCCTGCCAGCGCACCAATCATGGCGTCTTTTCTTAAGCAGCTTTATGCGGATTGGTCAAGGTCCGTTCGTGGCTGTGGTGTTGAGTCTGCTTGTAGCCTCGACGTTAGCTGGATGGTTTATAGCTTTCTGGTAGCAAACGAATAGAAACGATTGATCAGTAATGCTCATCATAAATAATAACGCATTAATATAACTAACATTGGTAGCTCGGCCATTTGTTCCCTACCAGAGGCTGAACTTTAGCTCACTTCAAATAGCTTAACATTAATCAACTCAGCTGACGTCAGCAACGTTTCTTTGACTGTAGCCCACAGTGTCTAACAGTGTTCTACTGAACTCTCCTATAGCGCTCGTCCTCAGAGGCTCATCTGGTCAATCCTGTATATTTATCTTCTATAGTGGCGTCATCAAAAACAATACTGATGCCGTGCAGTTTTACATGGACAAAAAAAAATTCAGGGAGTAACAAAGTTCCTCCTATTTTGTTTAGTAGACATAATACTGTAGTTCTTTTCTAAGGCCCATACATATTGTTATTTAGCACCATCATCAGTAGGATGGTTTGAAGCCAAACGTCAGTGTGTTATGATAAGCTAAACTTAGTGTCCAGGATATTAACTGCATTAACGCTGTGAAATGCTAACAACAGATGATAGTCAGCCAATGAAGTCTTTTAACAGGGAGTTTCAGAATCATCCGTTTTTTTATGTTTGCGTTTTAGAGTATACTGATTATTCAAAGGGAATGGTGGAAATCCAGAGATGGCAGCAAAGAGCTGAGAATGAGAAGAAATATCCCTTATATTTACAGTTTGTGTGCTTGATATTTTTAATCAATGATTTACAGTAACTGATGTGTGAACATCATACAGAGGAAACAACATGTATGGCCCTTAGAAAACAGTATTATGTCTAGTAAACAAAGTAGGGTGAACTATATTACTCCCTGAACTCACTGAAAATAGTTTTTTTGTCCATGTAAAACTGCACGGCATCAGTATTGTTTTTGATGACGCCACTATAGAAGATAAATATACAGGATTGACCAGATGAGCCTCTGAGGACGAGCGCTATAGGAGAGTTCAGTAGAACACTGTTAGACACTGTGGGCTACAGTCAAAGAAACGTTGCTGACGTCAGCTGAGTTGATTAATGTTAAGCTATTTGAAGTGAGCTACCGTTCAGCCTCTGGTAGGGAACAAATGGCCGAGCTACCAATGTTAGTTATATTAATGCGTTATTATTTATGATGAGCATTACTGATCAATCGTTTCTATTCGTTTGCTACCAGAAAGCTATAAACCATCCAGCTAACGTCGAGGCTACAAGCAGACTCAACACCACAGCCACGAACGGACCTTGACCAATCCGCATAAAGCTGCTTAAGAAAAGACGCCATGATTGGTGCGCTGGCAGGACCCGCCCCTCGGCAGCTCTGATTGGCTGGAGTTTTGACACAAACGTTCAGACATTTTACAGCGAGCAGGTGTGAAAGTTGAGCGCGCGCTGCAGAGCTCAGAGCAGAAGTGATCTGCGCGCACGTGCGAGTTTTGAAGGTGAAGAGCGCGACTGAGCAGGTTTTCCAGTTGTGCAGGTTCGAGTTCTGAGAGGGAAGAACATTGTTGAGCAGATTTTCAGGTTCTAATGAAACCAGAGTGTTTTGTTGAGCAGATCCGAAGGTGTTCATCTGCGCACGTCGTGCTGACCAGTGCGTTCATATTCAGTAGCTGCGCTCAGAGCAGCGCTGACCTCTCAGACCAGAACATTCCTCTCTCAGACATCAGGATCTTCTCTCAGACATTCTGGCACAAAATTAACTCCATAGCATTTCAGCTTTAATTAATCACACCTAACTAAAGATTAGGTCTAATTAATCACAGCTAACTTAAGATTCACAACAATACAGAAACTTTAACACTGTGTGGTGCATACATGTAGTAAAGTTAGGGGAAATATGAACAAATGTCTAAACGGAAATGGAGGCCACAAACAGACAGTCAGATGAGGAAGACGAGAAAGCTGAACTAAACTAAAATGGCGGCTGCTCTGACGAGCTGTTCTAAATTACCACAGTAAAGTTGTGGTCAGAGATTCAGAGATTGGAACACAATTTAATACATGTACATTACCAGTAATCATGCAATGTTGGTTATTACCTGGCTTGAGAAAACTCAAACACAGCTTGGTATATTTGAGTGATCATGTAGTTCTTCTCACATTTTCATGTGTAATAATACAGTAATTGTAGAACATTCATGCATATGATTTTTATAACTGATCATAACAGCAGACACAAAGTAACTTTCCTGATTTGTGAAATATTTTACAGCTGTATTTATGCCTTTATTAATAAGTCAGTACTTTATTAATACGTTTTGGCAATAAAAAGCTGAATATTTTGAGGGTTTGACTCTGTTGACACTATTGTAGTGTATATGTATTAAATTATGTTCCAAAGTTAAAACCACATTTTTTTCAGCCTTTTGTGCAAAATCTTTTTAGTAGATGACTGACAAACGATTCCAGCCTGTTTTCACCTCCTTACATGTGCATTACTGGGCAAAAAATCGAAAAACCCAATTTTGTATGTACAGCAATGGAAACAGATCTGTATAAACAATAAAATATCACAAAATCTGTTGGTGAATCTTTTCACAAATCAAGTAATGTGTACAACAAGTGAATCTGCAAGGTCATTTATAATGTCTGTAAATGAAATTAAACTCCAAAGTCTTATTCCTGAGGAGACAGAACTATATGGAGCTTCTCCACAAATTGAGCTTTACTAAATGAAACACATTTTCATAGATTTTGATGTCATTTGTGTTGAAACTCACCTGGCAAAGTAAAAACAAAATGCTTATATTTCACCTACTTTCATTTTCCCTGCTTGCAGTCTACACAGACCATGGACGGACAAAATAAGAACAGTGAAATTTTACACTAATCAAGCTGGACAGTTTGAACCTGGTTTTAATCATCTGAGAGCTCAACATTTGAAGTTATAAGCTTTAGAAAATAAAATACTGATGTGCAGTACTATTTTGGCAATTTTGGCGCGGAAAATGACATCATCTGAATTCACAAATTAGTACTAAGAAAATGCACCAGTGTTGCACCTCATCAGAAAACACTACCAGCCTTTAAACTATAGGTAGGATATTTAGAGTCTAAATGACCTCATCAGAAAACACTACCAGCGTTAAAACTATAGGTAGGATATTTATAGACTAAATGATCTCATCAGAAAACACTACCAGCGTTAAAACTATAGGTAGGATATTTATAGACTAAATGACCTCATCAGAAAACACTACCAGTATTGAAACTATAGGTAGGATATTTAGAGTCTAAATGACCTCATCAGAAAACACTACCAGTATTAAAACTATAGGTAGGATATTTATAGACTAAATGATCTCATCAGAAAACACTACCAGCGTTAAAACTATAGGTAGGATATTTATAGACTAAATGACCTCATCAGAAAACACTACCAGTGTTAAAACTATAGGTAGGATATTTAGAGTCTAAATGACCTCATCATTTCTTTTTGCACAAGTCTTCTGAGTTTATATGGAATGTTGATGGGAAAAACATCATATATCTGAAAATAAGGACTATTTTGCCTCAGAATACTGTGGAGCCCCCGAGGGATAAGATAAAATAAGAATTAATTTGAGCGAACTTTTAGTGAAGATTGTGGTTGTAGTTTGTCTCCTTCATTTCTCCACCAAACTGCAGCTGCACTGATGAATCTGTGGGCTGTTTGCTGTGAAGAGTAGCTACAGTGTGTTTATATCGCCCCCAAATCAAAATCAGACCTGATGAGCATTTCTGTTAATTATCACATAAATCTAATGCATCAAAACCTGTCAGTGTGCACATTTATTTATGTTTTAACTACTTAATGAGTAATTAAGTGTGACTGGTTCATCACTTTACTTTAGGGGCACAAACATTATGAACTCATCATGAAGAATCAGTATTTAATGAGTAATAAAGTGTGACTTGTTCATCACTTTACTTTAGGGGCACAAACATTATGAACTCATCATGAAGAATCAGTATTTAATGAGTGATAAAGTGTAACTGGTTATATTTTTATAGGGTATTTTTATAAAGTGTGACAGCATTTATTTTGCTAGTGCTGTGACATTGCAACCAGCTTTAAATCATTATGTAATGTGACAGAACAGCAGACGCCCCTTATATTGAAATGTTACTTTTATGTGTTGCATTAAACCCAAAGCAATGTCTATATTACCACTGCATTGTAACACAGTACCTACATAACAACTACACAGGAACTGTCCACTTATTTTAAAGT